CCCAGGTGAGCAGCTACAGGTGCCCCTGAGGGCTGTTGTTTGGCCACCACCTGACCTCAGAGCTGCGTTTCTATTGGCTGAGAGGCTCCGGGTCCCTTCAGCGGGGGTCGAATGTCCAGCTATTGATTGTTGGGTGTGACGACCCCCCCCCCCCCCCCCCCCCCCCCGGGGCTCAGGGGTTCTCTTTGTGACCCTCACCCCCCCCCCCCCACACCCCAACATGACCTACTGAGAGTTAATCACTGCTCGGCCGGCTTTGTGCACAAATCAGTGGGTTTCCTGTTTCTGCTGGGAGTCTCACAGAGCAAACTGTGGGGGTTGCCTCTACCCCTCTGAGGCTGAGGGGGTGGGGGGGCAATTCAGTAACTTTAGATGCACCCAGGACTTATCATAACAGACCTACTGAGCTCAGAGTGTTTAATTTATTCTTCGACTCCTGTCTTAGTCGCTGGTTACTCGCTTTGTTTCCATTCATAAAGACCAAAAACGTCCAAATTCACTGATTTTATCACATTTTTCATGGTTTCAGACAGAATTTCTGTGGATTTTTGTGAGGTTATTTACCAAAAAAGCATATCTGAAGTTGTCTTGGGGACACAATCAACAACAGAAATGACCATCATTTCCGTAAATATCCGTAACTGATATGAAATGATTTCATTACTGTTCCCATCAGTGAAAAGTAGGTAGTGTTCCACCGCTTTCCCATTTTCAACCACATCTGAGAGTGAAGTTAGTACCTGATTAAAGCTATGAAGAGAATGATTCACTCATTAAACCATGCTACATTAAGTTTAGAGCTCCCGACAATAAGAGGAGACAAATAAATCTGTGTAAATACGTCCCAACTTAGAGATTCTTAAGAGGACGAGTCCCACTTAGGTTGTGTTTGTGCGTGCTTATCTTATTTGTCCCCAAAATGAACGACTTTAACCAGCAGCCTAATGTTTGTTAAATATTATTCTCCCTCGGGGGAACCAGAAGGTGGCTGTGTTTAGTTGGAGGTGTTTGATAAACAACACAAGCCACAGCCTTTAGTTCTGGTCTGCTGGTGGCCCCGGCTTTTGCAATCGTCGACAGATAGAGCTGTTTCTTTTTGGTTTTTGAGGTCAGAGATGGTGTTTGTGCAAAGCAGAAGTAAACAAGTCTGTCTGCCTCGGCAGCAAAACGTCCACCAAGTTGTCAAGCTCAACATTTTTCATATTGTTTTAGCCACTATGATGCGAGTTTAGCGATTTTTATTTTTAATTTTTATTTTTTTTACTATTGTTTTGTTGTTTTTAAAGTCTTTATTGCATGCTAAAGCTGATTTTTCTCTGCATTGTTACACAAATTGTGTGCTCCAAAGATAAAAAAAAAACTAGGATTATTTAGGATTTTTCTTTACTCATTCCTGGATCTGCTTTTTTAATATTTTCCTCCTCTGTTTTGCAGTACTATGAGATGTCCTACGGGCTGAACATAGAGATGCACAAACAGGTATGTAGCCATATCAGTGATGGTCTGTGTACAGTCAAAACACCCCCCCGCCCCCCCCATAAGTGTTTGCAGAATATGAAAACATGCATAGCTGACCTTAGGATCCACCCTTATCCCGCCAAGCCTGGAGCAGGCGAACACATAGGGGCTTCCTGTGGAGAACATGCTGACAGGCCAAACAACAGCGAGGGCACGCTGCCTGATGGGGATGGGCTGATAAGATTAAAGTGAAGTATTTGGCAGAGAGGAGGCTGTGTTTTAGAGCAGTTTGTCCTTCTGAGTGTGCGTTTTTTT